TTGTTATGATAAGGTCCTCTAGTGCTAACGCTTTGATGTTACAATAAACACACATTCAGCATTCAGCTCTTTGAAGTGTACTGAAGGAAGTGAGGGCCATAAAGCCCCTTTGTTCTCCCCCTTCTCTCTCTCTGATGGCAGAATCCAGAGAAGGCAGAATTGGGAGTTTCTATATTTGATAATTAAAGATGAAATATAATTGGATTCTGACAGCAAGTTTGTTGGGAATGCCAACAATAACTTTGCAGAGCAGAGTTTCTCAACTACAGCAAGTTTAGGATGTGTGGACTTCAACTCCCAGAATTCTCTAGCCAGCATTTTGAGAATGCTGGATTCTCAATTCATCCCCACAATGACAATTCTGGGAGTTGAAGTCCACACATCTTAAAAGCTGAAATATTCTAGTCTGGAAATTGCTCACTCTCCATTTTCTTTCCACCATCAGAGATCAAAATTTATATCTTTATCTGAAATATATCTGAGAACCAGTGGTTAAAGTGCTGACCTAGAAATCAGGAGATTACGGGTTGTAATCCTGGTTTAGGCATGAAAGCTGGCTATGTGACTTTAGCCAATCACCAGGAGATGATGTGTTCTAGTCCTGCCTTAGACATGAAAGCCAGCTGTTGACTTTGGACCAATCGCTCCCTCTCAGCCCAACTTACCTCACAAGGTTGTTGTTGTGGGGAAAATAGGAGGAGGAAGGAGTGTTAGATATGTTTGATGCCTTGAGTTACTCATAAAGAAATAAAAGCAGGATAAAAATATAATAAATAAATACTTTGCTGGGTGTCTTCTATTTATTTTAGGTTTAAAGGTTAATGTTTTCATTGGATTTTTCACTATATTTGGGTGGACCTTTAAGTGTTCTTTCATCTAAATAACTTTTTAAAACAGGGGTTTTCAACTTCAGCAGATTTAAGATGTGTGGACTTTGAATCCCAGAATTCCCAACTAGCATTCTGAGTTCTAGACCACTGCACCAAACTGGTGTCTCACTCTCTCAGTTCTAGGTGTTTTGGGGGGACATTTTTAAATGGATGTGATGTGATAAAGCCCAAGAAATTCCCGCCTTACTGATTGCTGTTATTTTATTTATTAAACGAGCACCAAGATAAAGTGTTACCACATATGGGGAAAGTTCTTACTTAGTTCCTGTTTTGCTGATTTACTGTATGCAAGTCAGATTTTATGAGGTTGAGTAAAAGAGAGAGAGGAGAATTGAAAAAAAAAAGCTATTCAAAATGAAAAGATGATTGGTGGAGAATAAATTTATTCACTCATTCATTAAACGTATATGACACTCTTCCATAAAAATATTGGAGTTGTAAAGTTGGCTAAAGGGGTAACATATAAAGTGATTTAAAACATACCTTCCACATCGTTTTAATTGATGTGGGATTTCTTAAATTTATGATTTAAGAAATAAAGATTTCCTTCCAGTTAAAAGGTCCAACCCCCTTGAGAGGGGGGGTTGGACTTGCACAACCCCTTGAGCAGGGGGGGGGATTTGGACTAGAAGATCACTATCTATCTATCTATCTATCTATCTGTCTGTCTGTCTGTCTGTCTGTCTGTCTGACTGTCTGTCTGACTGACTGCCTGCCTACCTGCCTGCCTGTCTCATATTCTTAACAAAAGATTTTGACACTACACTCAGAGATTCAAATCCTTTCTGACACTGTTAAAATTGTTTAAAATTGTTTTCATGGTTAATTTATCATCAACAATATATTATATGAGTATATTTTTATATAACTACTGATAGCAGAAGCTAGAAAGAATAATAAGTGGAATTGATTGCATTTGGAGAAGTGAAAGAGAGAGAGACAGAAAGATGGAGACAGACAGAGACAGGAAGACAGGAACAGGGAGAAAAAAAGACAAAGATAAGATGCATTGAATAGCAGTTTTTGTATTAGATTTTCGGTTATTACAGGTTCAAACTACTACTTGCAATAATCAGTATGTTCTTTAAAATATATTTAATCTGGTAACCAGTGCATGGTTAGTTTAAAGGGTAAAGAATATTGGCTAATTATAATAGATGATCTCACTAGTTGGTAGCATCTGATCTATATTTTATTTTATAAAATATTCCTGCCTGCCAAATAAAACTGGAAAAAAGATACTCATCAAACCAAGCTCACTGCATTCTCATTTCTCAACCTGGTTCAGATGTCAAACATCTTCATTCTAAATCTGTTTCTTCCCCCCCCCCTCCAAAAAAAGTAGTAGTTTTCCTCTAAGAATAGGATGATGTCCCAAAAGCTATTGTGTACATTCTCTTAAGGAAATTGGGAGGCTATTTAATGAAGAGGGTATTCACAGGTGGGTTTTCAAATTATGGACAAGAGGATACCATTAAAAGTTTCAATTGGTCACAGAAACTGCTGCAATGTTTCCTAGACACTGCTCCTATTCTTGATCTTAAAAATTCCACCATCTCTATTTCCTATGCTCACCATCCCCCCTCCCCCCAAAAAAACAGCTAAAGTCATATTGCTGAAATCAAGATATTTATGCTGAACGCAAGATGGTTAGGACTAAATTGTGAGCAAAGCACTGGGCGCATGTTGGCCAACATCTCAAAATAACGATCCAGATTCAGCCAGAGTTTTATTCCATACAGCATTAACCTTGCAAACTCTTAAGCTTCTTCCTTCCTTTATATATGCAAGATGGACAATATTTAATATTTGTTTGCTACATATATGGAGGGATGTGGGTCTATACCAGTGGTTCTCAACCTGTGGGTCGGGACCCCATTTGGGGTCGAACGACCATTTCACGGGGGTCGCCAAACAACGCAGTCCGCCATTTTTCCCCCTTTTCCTTAGCTGTGCTACTCCCTTTTATTCTATTGGCTTTTGAAAGCCAATAGAATAGACTCTCTGGAATAGAGTCTAATTCTATTGGCTTTCAAAAGCCAATAGGAATTGTCCAGGCTGTCTCTGCCCTGCTGAGCCCGCCAAAAGTCCCATTCTGCAAACGGTGCTGCACCAGTTGAGTAGCCCTCGACTTATGACCGGTTGAGTAGTCCTCGACTTACGATCGGTTGGGGGTCGTGGCACTAAAAAGGTTGAGAACCACTGGTCTATACATATGTTGTTCATAGTATGTTTAGGTGTGTGTCATGTATGTGTTTCACTTGAGAATGGGCAACTAAGTTTCATTTTTGATGTGTGCCATTGTGCCCACAGTATAAAAATGACAATAAAGTTTATCTTATCTTACCTTATCTTATGAACAAAGGGTAAGAAAACTGGACAACAAGGGAACCCTCTCTATATTTCAGGGAGGAGAAGAGCCACATAAAGTTGGGTGATGATGCAGGATGCAAGGAGTCATGTTTTATCCATGAAAATAGCTATCTTTTTCTGAGTTTCTTATCTGGGTTAAGTGGGATTCTTTTCCATTGTTCATTAAACCCCATCAAACCTATTTTAAGGATTATATTCCTATTGTAATAATGAAAAGAAATAGCAGTTCTAGTTCTGGGGGCCCTGCGGTTGGAGACGCCTCTGGGGGCCTCAAGAAATTTGAGGTCACATTGGTAATAAGCAAAAATGGATTTCTATCTTGAGCAAATTTCCAATAAAGGAACTGAATCTGCATTTGTACGCAAAATTTTGACATGCTTCTTCTTTTACTGAAAAAGGTTGCATGAATTTGGGAAAATGTACATTAGCTCAATTTAAGGAATAGTGTATCAATTTGTATGCATATCAAATTACATAGTAATTCCAGAGAGGTTTCTGGAGGGATAGATAATGCCAACTGACTCCCAAACCTATAAACATTAAGCATCTTTCATCCCTATTCAAGATGACAACCTGTTTTGTAAATGAGCCCGTTTTGCTCATTATCTTCAATGAAGATCTGAGCTTTTTCAAGCATTAATTTGACTACTCTCCAGGGATGGACAGCAGAACATTTTTAAAAGCAATTCTACAATGCACTTTGCAAATCTTTTTCAATTCCATCCCAACAACATCTCCATTCTATGATTTTATCATATTAAAGAGCAATTCTGTTTTGTATTTGCTCAGAAGTGCTATAGTTTCCCTACTGGTATTGTTGTTTTACTATCCCTGCCAGATTTAAAAATCCTGTTTCTGGAAAAAAAAAAAAAAAGATAAGGGAGAAGTAAGCCAGACTACCAAGTGCAATTTTTCCCTCTCCCCCAAAGCACAATTACAATGTACATAAGAAATCGGTATTCATCCAAAATCCTGAAGAAGGATGAAGAACTGAAGAAGCTTCTTGGATAAGAAGTGAAACGTTTTCAAGAAAAAACAAAGAAAGTCCAGTTGCCATTGGAAAAGCACTTTTGGGACAATCATGGCCTGGGTGACCGAGAATCTCCATAGACGCTTAATTTCATTGGCATCTTTCTTTCGAGGACTTTCCAAAATTTTCCATCAGTCCTTTACAGTCCACTATCTTCCCTCAGTGGCACCCAAATTTAAGTTGAACTCTGTGCTTTTAATCAGAGTTTCAGAAATTTGCTCCAAGAGCCTGTGCTGCCCAGAACAATTTCAGATTATTGATGCCTGCATATCTTTTGGAGCTTTAGGCACTCAGTTATTTGACTTTCATAAGCAGCTAATCCCATACTTGAGCATATGACTGGAATCCTCCTCAATCTAGCATGTTCGATATGGCTCTATCTTTCACATTATTATTGTTGCTTTGAAGTTATTATTGTTTTTTCTTATTATTATGGTATTGGTGGCAACTAGCATTCTGATAAAGAAAGTGAATTGGCAAGCTTTCCTCTATTAGCATACTTAACCTCGTAATATTCATTGCGTTCAGAGCTCGCTGAAAAAAAGAAGGTCTGCATTTCCTGGCAGAAATGATTTCAAAAAAGGATGGACTTATTTCCTAACAGTTGGTCACCCAGGCTTTACTATTGTGGGTGGGTCGCTCGTGCTCCACCTCTCCTGAACGTACATAAAGCAATTCTGTAACATTTTCTCCTCGGGGATGAGTGAGTGGCCATTGATCTTCTGAAGTCAGAGTTGAGTTTAAGAAGAAAAGCCTTGACATCTAGAAGACCTTGCAGTAATCTAGAAGGAGACCTTTTAGTAGACTTCTTCAAAGAGAAGGTAAGACTTTCATAGAAACTTTACATTTTCTACCTGTAATCCTTCATCATATACTTTTCCTCCAAACAGTTTGATGGAATCTTCTTGAATTCCTTCTAACCAAAATGTCTCAACATAACCTTAAATGTTTTTGTTTGTACTGATCTGTCATCACCCCTTTCTATTACCCCAACTAGCGAAATTTAAATAGTAACCATTCGTCATGGTAATATTTCCATTGAATAGAAGTGTTAATGGAATAATTAGGTTTGTTAGATAATCACTTTATAAGATTGCTTTCATGTTTCCCAATATACCTAAGAGAAATTTGTTTTTTTTTATTTCATGTGATTTCTTCTACCTCAGAGTCCATCTGACCCATTTCATATTCAGACTGTGACTGCTTTTTAACTATGCAATCCATGCATCCTCCTCATCCACATAAAGAATTTTACATGCTTTGAATGAGTTTCAGCTAATGTAGACATGCTGTATATTTCTCATTATAAACATGTTCATGCATACTTTTTCCTAATATAGGTATTCTGCCAACACTATTCCTTAATATATTTTTAAAGCTTTTTTCTGCTATACATATTTATACATTTCAGACAATGCAAATATCCAATTTAGGATATTGGGAAATGGGGAATAAAAATAAATCTGGGTTCAGAAATTTAAAATAGACATTTGTTGAGTTGGCATTTTAATGGGAATTTACCCAAATGCCAACTAAGAAGCTTTTCCTAATTCCTAACTTCTGAAACTTTTTTCATGCTCTTCTACTGCCAAGATACTTGGCTATCTCACTAGAAGAGAAATCCCAATAGCAAGGTTCTAGTAAGTGTTACGAGCCAAAGAGCAAGGGGTTTCAGTCCAAACTGGGAAGGAGAAAGCATTTCAAGGCTACATTCAATTATTTAAAACATTTGTGGGTGGGTGGGTGCATGCCTTCTACTCAATCTCAACTCCTAGTCTAAAGAAAAGAAGAAATAGGAGAGACATGATAGCAGTATTCCAGAATTTGAAGGGCTGCCACAAAGAAGATGGGGTCAAATTATTCTCCATAGCACCAGAGGGCAAGACAAGAAACAACTGACCAAAGAGAGAAGCAACGTGGAATTAAGGAGAAAATTCTTAACAGTGGGACAATTAACCAGTGGAAAGGCTTATCTTCAGAAATTGTGGGTGCTGCATCACTGGAGATTTTTAAGAGTCTAGACAGTCACTTGTCTGAGATGGTATAGGTTCTTCTGCTCGAACAGGGGGCTGGACTAAAAGACCTCCAAGGTCCCTTCCAGCTCTATTCTATTCTATTCCTAACAATCACATGGACAAGTCCATGAAGTTTCCTTGGCATCATTCTCTGATTTGCCAGCCTTCCAAGGGCTGAGAGACAATGAGTGGCCCAAAATCAAGCAATGCTTTGAGCCTAAGAATGAACTCCTGAGCCTCTGGCTTCTAATCTGATGCCTTAATTACTCTAACAAGCAGGTTCTCAATGTAAATATTGTGCCAAACCATAAACCAATGTTCCACATCATACCTTTGGGGCACAGATATAAATCAAATTAAATTATAAACCAAAATGTAAGCTCTGACTAAATGACAGTGGAAGAGAAATGTTACAGTATTTTGCCTAGAGAGCTGAATGATGGTGATGGAATGGGATTGCTTAGTTAGGCGATCCAAAATACTCAGGTGAAAATGAATTCATTTAATCCAGAATGAGCACAGTAACTCATACTTATAAAATGAGCAAAAAATATGACCAGCATGAATTCTGTATTGTGTGAAATGGATATTTGCAACAAGGGGAAGGCCAATCTTCTATAACACAGTTGTGAAATAATGCCAATCTTGTGGGTGGAAGTGTAACAGTTGATTGAGAAATGTTCAGTGATTTGATATTGCTAAAAACTGGAAATGTTTTAAGCAGCAAAAGTTCTATTTACATTCTGTATTCTGATTTATGAAATGTAAGAACCAGGAGTTTTGATGCTGCAAAGCAGGTATTATGCAAGCTTAACATTTCCAGAACTTTCAGCATATGCACTGCTGACGATGCTAGAGTTAATTATGGAAACTACTTCAGTGTTTATCAAAAAGACACTGAAAAGAAACAAAATATTTCCACAGAATTTAGTTGTTGCAAGGGTACACTGCCGGAGAACCTAATTTGAGGGTGAAGGTTCTTTCCCTGAGCTTGTGAGTTGGTTTCTGAACATTTCATTACCAGGCTAAGTAATATATTCAGCAGAGTTTAGGGGAAGTCAATGTCATTGTTCTGCTTATAAGGGCTTCAGGCTTGGGTGTGTCAAGTGAAGGTTGAAGCCTTTATAAACAGAACATTGATCCTGACATCCCCTAAACTCTACTGAATATGTTACCTAGCCTATTAATGAAATGTTCGGAAATGCTTTGGAGAATAGTTTGATTCCCTCTTCTTTATGACAGCCCCCAATATCTCAGGGGGTCCCAAAAAGAAGAGGGAGTCAAGCTATTCTCCAAAGCACCTGAAGGCAGGACAAGAAGCAACGGGTGGAAACTAATCCAGGAGAGAAGCAACCTAGAACTAAGGAGAAACTTCCTGACAGTTAGAACAATTAACCAGTGGAACAACCTGCCTCCAGAAGCGGTGGATGCTCCAACACTGGAAGTTTTTAAGAACAGACTGGACAGCCATTTGCCTGAGCAGGGAGTTGGACTGGGTGACCTCCGAGGTCCGTTCCAACATTATTATTATTATTATTATTATTATTATTATTATTATTATTATTATTAAACCAACCCACAAACTCAGAGAACAAACCTTCACCCTCATCCTATACCCAAGCTACAGATATTCACCACTATTGCAAAACCTAATTTGGATGCAAATGTTATCATTTTCAAGATGAACCACCCATGTCAGTATTTTTGCAGAGGGAAATGCAAATAGTTTGTTATTCTTATTTTTGGGGGGGTTTTTTGGTTTTTTTTGTTGTTGTTGTTGTTTTTTCTTACTGTGCAACTGCCTATATTCTAAAGCATTGATCTACAAAACTTGAAAAGAGAATTGGGAGTACTTTAAAGGGTTAGCCTAGTGAAACAACTAGCATCAGATGTAGAGATGTGAAGTGACTTCATAACTTTATGTTAAACTGCCAAGAAATGAATAAGTGACGGGTAAGATTTTTGACAACAAGATGTTCAAATTGGTACCTTGCAATTACTGAGCCTTTAGGAGAATTTTGTAATGTAATACAAACTTGCAATATAAGACAGACAGATTTCAATGAGGAATGTGGCATTGTGGAGAGGTTGTTAGTTCTGCTCAGTTGCTAGACAAACCAGAAGTGATATCATATACATTTTTTCCTAAATGGTTCAGGATCCATTAGACTAGAATTAAGGAGAAATTTCCCGACAGTGAGAACAATTAACCAGTGGAACTTCTTGGCTCCAGAAGTTGTGGGTGCTCCATCATAGGAGTCTTTTAAGAAGAGACTGGACAGTCACTTGTCTGAAACGGCCTAGGCTCTCCTGCTTGAGCAGAGGGCTGGACTAGAAGACCTCCAAGGTCCCTTCCAACTCTGTTATTCTATTATTCTGACTTTAAGATCCACCAGCTTTTACACCTATCCCAAATGGGCACTGACTTTTTGGAAGAGTGCAAAGACATGTGAAAAAAATATCCTGGGCCATAGAAAGCTTCTACAGAGTATTAGGAAAGGCCAGAAATATCAACTTGGATCTGGCAGGTTTGGTGCAAAAATATCAAACTTTTATCTTTAATGTTCTCACTTTGTTGTTTTTGTTTGCAATAGTGCATTTCATTGTAAAAAGAAGCATAAAAAATACCAAGCATTGTTACTTTCTTTCTTTCATCATAACTCATTTCCACAGAGCATATTAATGACCCTCCTATCACTTGCCTGCTGCCATGCCTATTTCTTGTGCCCAGTTGCATCCTTTTCTTGCTCAACCAACATCTGTGAAAGCTCTTTCTTTGCTTCCTGCACATAAAAATCAGACAAGCAAAGCACAAAGAACAATGAAGATGCTATGAATTAGGGCTGCTGAAGAGAAAAACCTATCAGTGTCTATCCCATTCGAACAGATAGTTTGAAATTTTCATTTTGCAGTGTTAATGATGGACAGCAAGTACACAGAGAAAATGAAGGGTCCAATCCTGAGATGACATTTCTTACATTGGCCCTGATAGTGAACTCCCTATAAATGGTCCAATACATAGAAACTGCAACCCCAGACATCCTTTTATTTTTGTAGATTTTCTTGCAGTTCTAAGGCAGTTCACTTCTTCTTTTTAGCATCCTAATTAGACGACAGATCAATGAATGCCATTGCAACTGCTTTTTGTGTTTAGATGAAATAAGTGTTGACTAAGCCAAGATCTTAGGGCAGATGAAGTACCCCATTGTCAAGATGAAGTTTTTTCCACTTTTTGCTATGCTACAGAAATCTATTGACAACATAATCTAATAAAATGTTATAAAAATAAAAGAAATCTATCAGCAACAGTGAGTCTTGTCTCCTTGAAAAATACTGGAAATCTTCTCTCTCCCTTGCAGAAAATGCACAGGAAGCATATATTCAAATGATCTGTTCAGAAATTAAGAGGAGAGTTTCAAAAAACCTCCAGCTTATTTACCAGTAACCTTGCAATATTTACAGTTTATTGCATTATTCTAAAAAAGAAAGTACACATCAGAAGCACATATATGTGCAGATCTGTCCCATTATATGCAGCGTTGTTTACTTCTGAGTGAACCTGAGTAGAATTGGAGAATGGAAAATTCTTACCATTAAATTTACGCTACATTCCCAATCAAGCAACTTTTAGAAGTCAAACTCATTTACTAGCAATCTTGCTTAGTTTTTGCTATTGTGACACAATTGCAACAAGAAATGTCCATCATACCGTTACAACCAGCACTAAATTCAGAGTCTCATTTACTATTGTCATCTTCACTATATGGATGCAACCTCTATAAAGTGCCCAGTGTTTATATTGTTTCACCATCTTTACTTATTACATAAAACTTGAATCACTTAAGTTGATTAGTAAACCATTCTTATTTAAGAAGCCCGACTAGCATTGGATCCTTTTGGAAAGCTATGCAACATCAAAAGTCGAAGGAGATTACAGGAAAATTAAAGACAAAAGAAAGAAAGACAGTGGTTAAGCTGCTGCTAAGAAAACAATCAACGTGCCCATGAAATTATCACACCATTAATTTTTACCTAAAGAGGACTTAAGAACATATTTGGTTAGTTTCTAGTTGCTAAGTAAATCAGTTAAATTTCCCCATTCTTAATTAATCTGGAGATGATAACATTGTTCTTCCTATTGTGTAATTCTCCAAATGTTGATCATTTCAAAGATTGCATCCAGCAAAGCTTAATTTAGGGGAAGTTGCACATAAAATGGTTTATTTGATGGGAAATAGAGGGCAACTAATGATTGTTCAGGAAGATTGCGTATAAAAATAAATATGAATATGTATATGCTTAATTAGCCGTAGATGTTTAAGCCACAGAAACACAGAGATGGTTTGTGAAGCAAACTGAATAGATTTATGCCTGAATAGTGATGAAACTCATGCAAATCTCCCACAGCTTCTTGCTCAGGATTCATTTAGCTCAAGGTTTATTTACCTTTAAAGATTCATTTGTTTATTTAGTTTGCATTCTTTTCCCCATCATTTGCATTTATTTAAATGGCAGCACACATTTGGTTCCTCAGAGACAAAGCACACACGTAACTGTTTCTGTGTGTGTGCACATGCACTTTTGTTTATATGCTTGCTTTGTCTTAGTATATTTAGGTTTTTTTTTTTTAATCTTTGGGATCTGAGTTTCTGTAATGTATTACAGAAATGTGTTCATATTTCTTTGATGGCTCAGTCCCCATACAAATATACAAAATATGGCTGTCAACAATAATACTAATCACAGGCTACAAGAACATATTTTTAACTGAAAAGACAATAACTTCATTTATTGGTGAGTGAAAACACTTATGGATTTTTTTTCTGTAAAAAGTTTAAAAATAACTTATAGTTTATAGTTTTGTTGATTAGATAGAATAAATTATAGAAAGAAGAAAGCTGTGGTATAATTTTAGACATAAAGGTCAATTTATAATTGTATTTATAACTGCAGAAAAGAAGATTAGAAGCCACTTTTTGATATTGTTCTTCTTTCTTTTCTATCTTTCTCCTCATCTTTTTCTTTGAACAGTTTTTTTTCTTACATTTTTTTTTCTTTTTCTCTTTTCTTTTTTGAAGTCGTTAAATTTGTATTGGGAAAGTCCCTGCAGTTTTCTTGCCAGCACTTTTGGAAATGGTGTTTCTGTATGTGTGCATTTGTTTGTGCATGTATATGTGCATCGGTGTTTGTATGAATATCATATATATATAATATTATGCCTCTTGCTTACCTGCGTGTCCATTGCTTATTTTGCAAAACCTTCAGGCTTGCATTTAACCTTAATCTAAGGATCTGTGAGAAAGTACAAATTTTATGCAGTGAAAATATTCATCCAAGCACAGCTTGTTGCTCATTGATATCCATGCACAAAAACAGTAGAAGTAACCACTTGTAGAACAGTATCTTGTAAATTAAACAATATTAGTAAATAGCAAACTCATTTTTAATTATTGATTAAGTTGATTTGACCTTAGTGTTAGGCATTTTTTGTATTATTCCCATTATTGCATTTTTCTCACTTTTATTCTTTTTTTTTTTTTTAATCTGATAATCAAGACTCTGTTTTGGCAAAAAAAAAAAAAAAAAATTCAAAGGAAAATAGAATTTTGGAGAAGTTCTCCTGAATGGGAGTGTGATATTCTGGAACTTAACTAAGGGAAATAATGCATCTATTTTCTCTGCCCAGAATGTTACTGAAGAATCTCTGAAAATATAGAAACCACCTCATTGCCATCAGTGTACATTATACACATATGTCTACTTATTTATATTTATATTCCACCCTAGTCCTAGGAAAGTCTGAGTGGGTTATGAGATTATAAACCCTAAGAACAAAACAGAGTTCATTAAAATTGTCAATAAACACTTGTATAGGCACAACCAGTAAATTAATTTAAGGACCAAATGGATATTTAAAAAAATGTTGGCTAATTTGTAAAATACCATCATTCTCACTTCTGGAAGGAGAGTTTTCCACCACCAAGAAGGCTTGTAGTTGGGTCCACCCACCATGTACTGGGACAGTTTGCAAAAGGACTTTTTAAAGGACACAAGACACATAGCCTGGTCAAAGTTGTTATAATCAAAATCCAAAATGAGAAAGCAACAGAAAAATGCAAATAAGGGCACATTTATAATACATGATTTAACTGCACCATGAGAGAAAGAAGATGGTCAGCAAACTGGCTTACTTCTTCCTCTCTTATTCTTCCTCTTAATTCCTCAATCCGAAAGACATTTCACTGAAAGCACTGTTTATACATATCCTACCGGTATTTGTGTACTGCTGTTTGCCTGTCTTTTTGTTAAGTGCCTCTGTAAAAAAAAAAATTCATCTAACAAGGCAAAACAAGTTTCACCAAAAAGCACTAACGAAAGCTTCAAGAGAAAGGTGAAAGCAAAATAAGCAATTGAATCTTTGCTCATTGTTTGAGAAAACACCATTTCTTTTTTGTTGTTTATTTTTAAAAGTGTGATTAGTTCATTGTAGGAGATGTAACATCTGGAAAGAAAATCTAATACAAGTGAAAGTAGGCTGGCTCTCTGTTTTTAACCCATCAGACCATTTTTATCTTGTACATTTTTCCCTTTCTTTTATTCCTGTTTAGAATAGAATAGAGCTGGAAGGGACCTTGGAGGTCTTCTAGTCCAGCGCCCTGCTCAAGCAGGATAACCTATACCATTTCAGACAAGCGACTGTCTAGTCTCTTCTTAAAAATCTCCAATGATGGAGCGCCCATGATTTCTGGAGGCAAACTGTTCCACTAGTTGATTGTCCTCACTGTCAGGAAGTTTCTCCTTAGTTCCAGGTTGCTTCTCTCCTTGACCAGTTTCCAACTATTGTTTCTCGTCCTTCCCTTTGGTCCTTTGGTGAATAACATAACCCCCTCATCTTTGTGGCAGCCCCACAGATACTGGAACACTGCTATCATGTCTCCCCTATTTCTTCTTTTCTTTAGACTAGCCAAGCCTCCTCCTTCCCTTCCTTCTTCTTCTTTCCTTCCCTCCCTCCATCTTCCCTCCCTTCCATTCATTAATCCATGCTCCTTACTATTTACCACTTTTAGATTTGAAGTCACAATCTTCCATGTTCCATGAATACACCAGATGGGATCATAGATACTAATCACCACAACCCAACATTGTTTTGATGAATCAAAGCTTTCACATAACACATTTTATTCAGGCAAAATTACCACCCTTAATTCAAACCATAAAATCTAATGGTGAGGACAGGACTGATCAGTTTTGGTAGTTTGGGCCGGTTTACCACAAGTATAATCAAAACCCAATTTTACTTCAAATATGCTCAGTCTAGTCCAGTGATGGTGAACCTTTTAGAGACCGAGTGCCCAAACTGCAACCCAAAACCCACTTATGCATTGCCGGGTGCCGGGTGGGCATGGCCACTGAGTGGGCATGGCCACCAAGCTCTCGGCTCATTCACTGTCCGTTCCAACTCTTGCTCTCTCTCAAGCTGTCTGCAGCAAATGCTGCTTCTGCAGAAAGTTGATCCTTTTATAGCAGTGGTTCTCAACCTGTGGGTCGGGACCCCATTTGGGGTCGAATGACCATTTCACGGGGGTTGCCAAATGAGGCTGTCCCCCATTTTTTCCCCTTTTTCTTTGCCCACGCCCCTGACACCCGGTGATATATAAGTGGTTGGGGGTCACCACAACATGGGGAACTGTATTATGGGGTCGCAGCATTAGAAAGGTTGAGAACCACTGTTTTATAGCTTCTCACCTATTCCCAGATTGCGCATGTGTGGAGAGGAAGAGGGAGCAGCTCAGCCCAGCAATGGCTTGTGTGCCACCAGAGACGGCTCCGTGTGCCACCTGTGGCACGCATGCCATAGGTTCGCCACCATGGATCTAGTCTATCCGATTGTTAATTCAGAGACAATCTTGCAAGCCAACATGCCATTGCTAACATTCCACCACTTAGACTTATATGCAATATTCTCACATATTCTGACATGCAATCAATATGCATTTTTAGGAATTATGATAAAGCCTAATGCTAATGTTTCTCTTCTGTTCCAGCAGGAGTATCTGAAGCCACAGAAGGTAGACAAAAGACTGAAGCATAATGGATATGGCATCCCCCTCTCCATCCAGGATCTTAGCACAAATCAATGAAACATCCAGTGTCATAAATAGAACCTGTTATGATTCTGGCATAAATGAAGAAGTGCTTATTTTTGCAATATTCACTGTGCTTTTTTGTCTGTTGGGAATGTTGGGCAACGGCCTTGTGATCTGGCTGCTGGGCTGCTCCATCAAGAGGAACACTTTTGCCATTTATATTCTCAACCTCTCTGTTGCCGACTTTGGTTTCCTCACCACTGAGCTGATTATCGAAATCCACTGGTTTTTTACACACTTGTATTGTGACTTTCCCTATGAACTCTTCCAAACGGTCCTGCTGTTAATGTACAGTACGGGGCAATTTCTCCTGACAGTCATCAGCATCGACAGGTGTATTTCGGTCCTTTTCCCAATTTGGTACCGATGCCACCGGCCGGTGCATCTGTTCACTATTGTGTGTGCTGTCATCTGGGCCACTTCCTTCATCCTCTCTTCAATTCACTTCACAATTATAGCTGTTGATGGATTTGGAAAGAGTTATACTTTGATGTATCAGTTCATTGTTAATGCTGTGCTTTGTCTCCCACTGATGACAATCTCCAGTGTTACCTTGTTTATCAAAGTCTGCTTCATATCCAAAAGCCAGAGGCGGAGAAAGCTTTTGACAGCTATTTTGCTCACACTTTTCTTCTTTTTAGTCTTGGCTTTTCCACTAAATGCCTTTTATTTTATCCTGTACGTTTTCAAATATATACATCCCAACCTTGTACATTATGGCTACTTGTGTACCTGCATCAACAGCGGCATTAACCCCCTGATCTATTACCTGGTGGGAAGACAGAAGGGTAAAACGCGGAAAGGCATCAAAGAGTTGTTTCAGAAGGTTTTCAAGGAGGAGGAACTCTCTACTGATGAACTGGAAACTTCGGAAGGTTCCAAGATCTGAATGTTTTACTTTCACTATTGTCGTTCAAAAGATACATTCGTTTCTTTCCAACCCAGCTCTTTTTTTTTTGAATTTAAAAGAAACTGGTCTTTATGCTGATTAATTTCTGCATGGAAAACAAAACATTTCTCAAGTTGGACTCACCTATGTATCAAGTATTACTTGAAGACTAATTAGCTTGGTCTCGTTCTGTCTTCCCCAGTTGGAGTGGCCTTCAATTTTGTGTATTTGAACTTTAATCTCGATCCAGTAGGATCATCGTTGAGAATTTTCAAAGCTGACATTCACACTTTTGGAAGGTGTCCATCATAGATGCCCACATGTGACTTTCAAAGTATCCCAGGTTCTATCAACTACATGCCCAAAATGACATGACATGATAATGGAACTCTAGTTCAAGACTACCTGGAGAATCCTATATCTGTATCTCCATGAGACCAGGATTCATCAGCTCAGTTGAATGAAAAGGTGGACATCTGTTACAACAAGAAAAGACCTTATAAACTCACATTTAAATGAAAACATTTTGTGCTGATTCCATATGAAAAGAGAAAAGACTGAAACAATTTCAAGTGGTAATATCTACAGATTGATCTCTCTTTCTACACATGTATATATATTGTACTTAGAACAAATGGTTGAAATGTAATTGCTCTAACTTTATTGTCTGTGCATACACAGATGAGATTTAAAGCTTTCATATCATTAGGACAGATATAGAAGCAACTGCAACTATAATAGTGCTGTATATCTTTTACAGAAGGAAAAAAAATAACATTATTTACTCAGTGTATTCCCCCTAAAAAGCTTGCAACAAAACATGGAGGAGCTCTGGACTTTTTTTGCTTTCTTGTGAATGTGCAAGTGACTATTTTAGACAAAACAATTTCCTTATGTTTCACGTGTTATGGCTCAATGCAGAGAAAATGAATCTTGCTATGTTATAACCACGTGGGGCTACCCATAAAGACAATTTTAAAAATTTCAAAGGTTGTAGGAAGGGTAGTGATAGCTACTTGGCACCCTGATTTTATTATATTTAAATGTCAATGTCAATAGCTGCCTACTCAACTTAAGAGAGAAGCTGTAGGTATCAAATTCCTAAACGGTTCTTGGTTAGCATCTATAACAGTGGTGGTGAACCTTTTAGAGCAGTGGTTCTCAACCTTTTTAATGCTGTGACCCCCAACCGGATGTAAGTCGACGACTACTCAACCGATCATAAGTCGAGGACTACTCAACTAGTGCAGCACCATTTGCAGAATGGGACTTTTGGCGGGCTCAGCAGGGCAGAGACAGCCTGGACAATTCCTATTGGCTTTTGAAAGCCAATAGAATTAGACTCTATTCAAGAGAGTCTATTCTATTGGCTTTCAAAAGCCAGTAGAATAAAAGGGAGTAGCACAGCTAAGGAAAAGGGGGAAAAAATGGCGGACTGCGTTGTTTGGCGACCTCCGTGAAATGGTCATTCGACCCCAAATGGGGTCCCGACCCACAGGTTGAGAACCACTGTTTTAGAGACCAAATGCCCAAACTGCAACCCAAAACCCACTTATGTATTGTCAGGTGCCAGATGGGCGTGGCCCATTTAATGTCAATATCAATGGCTGCCTATTCAACTTAAGAGAGAAGTTGTAGGTATCAAATTCCTAAATGGTTCTGGGTTAACATCTATAAGAATGCCTCTTCTCGCCTATCAACAGAAGGCAGCTTGCCTGCCTTTGGAAATAAAGTAAACATTCTAAGCTTTGTGGTTTCATATTTTAAACTCATTTAAATTACACAGGCATCACAATTTTAGAAATTCATAGATGCTTGAGCCTGTGCTTAGCAAGGTTATTTTAGTCTCAAGCAACTTCAATTGCACCCAACGGACATTTTTTTTCTTCCAGTAAAAGCTGATGATATTTTATCTTTTATATCTATATAAATAAAAATGTAAATGTTCGTTTGTTCAAAATCTTAAATCTCCGAAAGTTCTTCACTGATTGCTTTGACATTTTGACAAAATGTTGCATTCAAATACACACATGTTTTTATATACCTATATTATATAGATGTCACACCTGTGACAGGTAAAAACATGCATTTTTTGAAAAACAGCGCCATCTGTTGGACTTAATCTCCATATCTGCACACACAATGGAACAACAAAAAATATTGTACAGTATACCCACAAGCATTGTGAAATTAAACATATTACAAACGTGCGGTTTCTCTTTTCTTTCTTTTCCATTTAACCACACTGAGCCACAGCAACACGTGGCTGGGTACAGCTAGTGGTTAAATAAAAGTTTATATCTTCAGATTTGGAAGTTTCTGTTAATGCACCTCTGCAATAAAGTAGATTTTTGCTCACCTAGCGACATTTCCTGTCTGTTTTACCCAGGACAGATGACACAAGAGAGGGGACAGATAGTTAAGCACACAGCAACTAAATGCTAGATGAATTGAAGACAAGCCATGCCTGGACAGAATGTGATTTCTTTGCTTCTTTGTCCTGTCAGGACAAAGCTTCTGCAGACCACAATGCTAGCAAGTGGCTTCTTCTCTCACTGCACCCCGAAGGAAAGCAGAAGGGGAACCAAGAGAGGCTTTTGGCTTCCCACCTTCTGCAAAATGAGTGTCACCATGGCTGGTGTACAATGGTGACATTGCACTGGGAGCAGTTATAAGAGCTGCAGAGGGCCAGGGAATTGTTCCAAAATACTTCAAATATCTGGGGGAGGCACAGTGCCGATTCCAACATGAAAATTCAGTTGATTTCTTCCAACATGGAACTTCACTCTCTTCCCAGTAGGTGGCTCCCAAGAACAGTAAGAGATGCAAGTAGTCACCAACAGGGGGTGCACTGAAGAAAGGAACACTACATGAATTGGGAACTGCATTTTTGCTTTAGGGGTGGACTTTCCTTTTGAGATTGATATTTATTTAGTGAATTGTTGATATTAAGTGAGAGAACGTTGAGAATTCTTCAAAGGAGATAAGTTGAGCTTTTGCATTTTTGGCTCTATTCAATTTCTATAGTTGTTTAATGATGTGGAAAAATATGCACACCTACCTAGCACTGCAAGGTTGTTTAAGCATCACAAGCTGGTTGGTGTGCTAAGCAACCAGAGGAAGGATACCTCTCATGATTCCAGCTTAAAACTCATTCCTATAATCTTGTTCCATGTGATCTGTGGAAAAATGGGAACCGGGCCTTGGGCAAGAGAAGTGGTTGTGTTCCCTTATATGGATGAATGTGTGCATGGTTTCAGAAATATAACGTCTTGCCTCACCCAGACCCACCTCTAATTGCATGCTGCAGCAATTGGGCAATGATACAAGCTCTGGACTGTGTTAAGAAAGCTTTATGAAACTAAAGGAACCTTGGTTAAGGAAAAACCAAAAATGGAGAATTTGGAGGGCCTTGCAAAGAGATTGGACTTACAACAATCTGAATCACATAAACTCAATCTAGCCCAATTTATGGAGATTTCATTCTTAGAGTGACATATAAGAAAAAACAGCCTTAGCATCTTCATAGATGAACCCTGTGAAGAAAGAATCAGAGAAGAACTATGGTTGTGGGAATTGAGTATGTCTAGTTCAGAGGTAGGCAACCTCGTCTCTTTTATGACTTGTGGACTTCAACTCCCAGAATTCCTGAGCCAGCCATGCTGAGGGGAAAGGGAGAGGTTTCCAAGCTGAGACATGCTGGCTCAGGAATTCTGGGAGTTGAAGTCCACGAATCATAAAAGAGCCAAGGTTGCCTACCCCTGGCCTAGTCTAATGAAAAGAAGGATTAATAGTGACATGATAGCAGTCAAATAAAAAATACATAAATATTAATCGGTTCCAATGCATTGCTCCCTGTCAGAGTGAAGCCCAGAGATAACACAGTGAAATGTAATCAAGTTCAGTCCTTTACTTGCTTACACCTAAGGGCTTCCCATCCAAATACTGACCAGATCTGATCCTGCTTAACCTTTTTCAAGAACAGTTACTTAATGCTAAATCATGTACAGTGTTCTATGTTGGGTAAGAGTGGTGTGTCAGTCCAGTTTATTGTGGTTCCAATCCACATACCATCTGGGGGCTTAGTACTATTATGAGCCACTTTATTGTGTGTAGACAAAATGAAAACAAGCCTATCTGTAAGGTTTGTGGGAAAGACCTTGGAGACAGGGCAAAGAGATGCTGCCAGGGAAAAATCAGATAACAGATAGCATAGCTGACAGAGGCATAGTGGGCAGAGCAAGAGGCTCAGAAGAGACATTCCTTCCCCAATATTGATGCCAATCTTACTAGGCATATCAGAGGGAGGGAGAAGAAGGAGTCAAGCTATTCTCCAAAGCGCCTGAAGGCAGGACAAGAAGCAATGGATGGAAACTAATCAAGAAGAGAAGCAACCTAGAACTACCGAGAAACTTCCTGACAGTGAGAACAATCAATCAGGGGAACAACCTGCCTCCAGAAGTTGTGAATGCTCCAACACTGGAGGTTTTTAAGAATAGATTGGACAGCCATTTGTCTGAAATGGTGTAGGGTTTCCTGCTTGAGCAAGGGGTTGGACTCGATGACCTCCAAGGTCCCTTCCAACTTCATTATTATTATTATTATGGATCATCGCACAGTCAGCCAGATGTTCAGACTGGATTTGGCATTTTGTCTACCTATCGAGTCCTTATCCAGGACCTGGGATAGGCAGATGTGGATGTTTGATGGTATTACAGATATCGTCGCAGGATGGAAGCAGTTCCTAATAAGGCCGCTTTTTGCAATTGACTAATAGCGAATTTGTCAATGCCAATGGTGTTCAAGTGGTGCTCCAGTTGTTTTGGGATTGCACCCAAGGAGCCTATTACTATATTGTTGTTGTTGTTATTATTATTATTATTATTATTATTATTATTATTATTATTATTATTACTATTATTATATATCAGACAGGACCAGATACCTAATTCTACTTTATTCTAAAGCTTTATTGTAAAATTACATTAACAGAATATTGCAAATCTGATTGTTATGGTTCTGGCTACTGAAACACTTGAAAGAACTTCCAGGCATTTGTTTTCCTAAAAGTCATTTATTGTTTCAAAATGTCGGCACAGGCATAATGGAGGGATGCTAGGATCTAAGTTCTCTTCCTCTGAGCAACTAAATTATCAGCATGTTCCCTCCCTAAATTAGCCGTCATATCTCACATTACCCAATTAGTGTGAAGGTCAAATGTTTTCTTCCTCTTTCTTTCCCGGTCTTTACCCCCAACCCCCCTTGTGCTCTAGTATTAACCCCATAATTACCAGACAATTCTGCATATTGTCAAAAGCAAGAATATACAATATTTGCACCGTTGACACTGGTAGTACAATTCTCCTCTCATCTCCTTGACAACCTGAGAAACTAGTTAAGACTCCTTTTCTGAGCCTCTTGCTTTGTTCACTGCCTAGCTGTGAGCTCTGCTATCTCTTATTCTCCTAGATGGCATCTCTTCGGCTTGTTCCCCCAAGGACTTTCCCACATAATATTATACTTTCCATCTTTCCTTATGTTGCAGTCCAAGGAAAATTGCTGGAGAATTGGGGTACACTGGAGACCTCAACTTCCCCACACTTGGCGCTGCCAGGCCCCTCTTCTCCTCACACAGAATGCCCAACTCAAGCAATGCAGGTGTCAGGCAGTGGGGTGGACTACCAGGACCACAATGTTATATCACTGTGCTTTTGTAAGAGCAAGCCAATTGTAATTAAATAACAGTAGGCTGGCTGCCTTCTCATCACCATCACCTTCAGGAAAAGAGCTGCAGCTGAGCACGTTCCTGTAGAAGGGGATTTATGCAATGCCAAATATGTTTCTCAATTGCTAGATGCATCCTGTCTTCTGCCCTTTATCTCTGATTCTGTCTTGTTCCTGTCCTCAACTTGCTTCTGACCACTCAAACTTTGAAAGCTCTAGTACAGACATGTCAAACACAAGGCCCGGGGGCCGGATGCAAACCGCGAAGTGGTTTCATGTGGCCCGAGAAGCCATCCTGGAAACAGTGAGGGAATGGCCCCCGCTGCCTTGGCTTTGGCCCAGGCCGGCTGGGAGCTAATGTACAATTTTGTGGTGGAAATGCATTGAGTCTTAGCTCAACAAGGCCGTCTGGAAACAGCAAGGAACCAGCCCCTGCCATGTCGGCCCCAGCCCCTGGGTGCATGCGGGGGAGGTGTCACCCTTTATGAGGAATGAAGAAATGCACCATTGCCTGA